TCCTCCTTTCACCCACAAAAATGCCGCGCCCCTATCAAAAAAAAAAAAAAAAAAAAAAAAAAAGCACTTCTAAAAAACAATTGAAAAGTAAATGCCATCTTGGTTGCTACGTGAGGGAGGACCAGGGCTGCTTGCAGGAGCTCCCCGAAAGGCAGGTGTGATCAAGCCTCTCCCAGCTACAATCTCATGGCAACTCCTCCCTCCTGCAGTTAAAGTGATCCCCTGTGCTCCAGCTCCCACCTGGACCTTCTCAGCACCCCAGGCTTCCTGCTGTGACCCAGGACATCCGGCTCCTGGGAGGCTGCCCTCAGCCCTCAGGCAGGACTGTGGCCTGGTTGTAGGTCTCTGTCTTCCAGGGCGTCTTTCATAACCACGTCGCCTTCTGCCTGCCAGCACCCGGGCTGGGCACCTGCATCCCCCGAGGCCTCGTCCCCGGCCCCGTGGCTGCCAGGATCTACCAGTTCGGTAAACACCCTGCTTCCATGAGTCTCCCCAGCTCGATGGAGCAGCTAACGGGGCCTGTGAGCCGTGGGTGGTGCCAGGCCTGTCTCCGACATTCACACCACCCTGGCAAACAGCCCCCCGTGGGGCCTGCGCCACAGAGACAGGGAAAGTGAGAAATCACCCCCCAGAGGGGATGGCCACACTGCAACCCCTTCTCTTCCATTCTCCTCTCGGGATTTTGGGCACGCATGCATACCCAGTGTGCTTTTCTTCTGTTTTTTGTTTTGTTTTGTTTTTAAAGAGAGATTTTTGCTATAGAGTGCATGTGCTTGCCAGAGAGAAAGAGAGAGAAAAAGTGAGAAAACACTCCCCAAAGGGGATAGCCACACTGCAATCCCCTCTCCTCTTCTCCTCTCAGGATCTTGGGCACACGCACACGCGCCCGGTGTGAGTTTAAGCCACCGGGTCCGGGACTCGAACTGCGGTCAACTACGTGGGAGTCCAGTGACATAGCCATTATGCCCTCTGCTGGTCCTGCCCAATATGCTTTTCAAGCCCTCAGGTCTGGGACTCAAACCACACAGTCAGCCACGTGGGGTCCACCTCCCCCACCCACCGTGCCACCTGGCTGGCCCAAAAACCCTCTTCTGGCCATCAAGGAAAGCGAGGCTCAGAGAGGGAAAGGCACTTGCCCAAGGTCACACAGCAGAGCAGGAGGGACGGGTTCTGAGCTCGGTCCTAACTCCGCAGCCCACAGGACAGTCCGTGCCTTGCTGGGCACAGGGCTGGGGCACACCAGGGGCTCAGGAAATGTTTGTGGAAGGAATGAGCAAGCCGAGACAGGCAGCCTGTCCCCTGGGGACACGGTGGCCAGGGCAGAGGCACGGGGACTCGGGGACACTGCAGCCGCCCAGCCGCTGGTGTGCCTGTACGGAAGACATCTTCTAGACTTTCAAGAAGCCCAGGGAAGGAAGCACGACCTCCTGACTTCTGGGACTGGCATTTGAACCTCACCTTGCTTTGCATAGCATTTAACTGCTGCCAACTTTGAGAAAACTATTTTTTTTTTTTGAGAGGTTTTTGCTATAGGGCGCGTGCGCTCGCCAGACAGACAGAGACAGAGAGAAAGCGAGAAAATTGGTCGAAGGAGGATTGCAGTGGGACCAGGCCTCACTGGGGTGCTTTCTCTCCTTCTCTTACTCTTACCCTTACACGCTCGTGCACACACTCTATCATGAAGAAAGGGGAAATAAAAAGTTTCTGTTAAAGACGTCTGGGTCCTAGCGATGTCCGATTTTGCATGTCTCAGCTCAAAGCCCCGTCGGATCCCCCAGCTGAGATCAAGTGTCCCCATTAGGTAGTCACTGCTCCGGTCTACAATTGACATTAATTTTTTTTTTTTTTTGAGAGGTGTTTGCTATCGGGCACGTGCGTTCGCCAGAAAGACAGAGACAGAGACAGAAAGCGAGAAACCACCCCCCAGAGGGGATGGCCACGCCACAATCCCTTCTCCTCCATTCTCCTCTCGGGATCTTGGGCACGCACGCACACGCGCCCGGTGTGAGTTTAAGCCACCGGGTCCGGGACTCGAACCAAGGTCGACTATGTGGGAGTCCAGCGACATAGCCATTACACCAACTGCTGGTCCCTGGACCTGCAACTTCTCAGCGCCCGGCGTGACCTTGGGCAGGCAGCTTCACCCTCTGTGCCTTAGTTTCTCCCTCTGCAAAGTGACGTGCTCCCCTCGCCTGTCCCTGTCCCAATGTCACAGCACACGTGAAGAGAATTACCACGGGGAGAAGGAGCAGCATAAACGGATGCTGCAGCGCCCAGGGGAGACGGGACGGCCCGATACGCCTGGCCACCTCCGGCCAAGGGTCGCTGCAGCCCCTTGGAGCCCAGCCCGGCTCCAAGCCCGGCGGCGGCCCACTCTCCCCGCAGCGTCTGCGTTTCGGGACCTTCACCGAGGGCTGAGCCCGCAGCCCCGATGCTGCGGATGGCGGGGCGAGGCAGCGGGCGGCCGCCGCCGCAGCCCACCGCGTTACTTAGCAACAGGGCGGGGCTCGCGGACTGAGGACCCCCTGCCCGGTTACCTGGAGCAGGGGGGTACTTCAGGTGAGCCCGATCGGTCTCCCTGCTAATGCCAGGGCGGGGCCCATCGGACGGTTACCTAGCAACAAGGTGGTTCCCCCCGTTGGGTGAGGCCCCCGCCGGTTGCCTGGCAACGGAGAGGGTGGGGAGCTCTCGGTACCTTGCCTTTCAGGTCCAGCACGTAGACGGCGCTGGCGGACATGGCGGGTGCGGGAAGCCTCAGCGGAGGCCGAGGGCGAAGGCGACGGCGGGGACTAGCAGGCGTTGAGCAAGGCCGGGCGCGGCCCGCGACAGGTCGCCCTCACTTCCGGTCCAAGGAGCCGCGCGCGGACCGTTATGTCCGGTCCAGGAAGCGCTGTCCGGAATGCGCAGGCGCGGGACGGAGCGTGCGCAGGCGCAGTAGGTCCTATGAGACCATATTTCTCGCCCCCATCTCAAGCTTCCCGGAAGTAAGGTCGAAAGGGGTGTGGCCGGCCGGGGCCAAGCAAATCAGGGCAGTCTATGGCTGCAGTCGGGTGTGGGGAAGTCGGGGCACCTGGGAACTCACCTGTAAGCCAAGTTGGGTGAAAGAGCGGGCGGCAGAACCGACCTAGGACCTAGATCTCTAGGGCTTAAGGGGCCGTCTAGAGAACAAGCAGGTGGTGTGGTGGGCAAGGCGCTGGACACGCCCACGTGACTGACCACGGCTACCATTCTTTCTCACTTTCCCTCTCTTTCTTTCTGTGTCTCTCTCTGGTCAAATTAACATAAATGCAAGAATAAATAAAATAAAATAAATCTTTAAAAAATAAATACACTATATTCACCAAGTGTGATAGGCTTGAAGCAGCCAGGGAAGGTATTCTACCTGTCAAGAGGTCAAACTCTGAATGCCAATCAAACCTTGTCAATATTCACTATCTGTCAGTGTCAACATTTCTCATTGAACAAGTGCACTGGTTTATGGCCGGGTAAGGTCTCATGAAAAACCACACCCTGCTGGACCAGGGCCAGAAGCATGTCTTTTATTTCTGCAGTTAGTGGCCGCCAGTGAGTCATGGAACTTGTGGCTTAATCAACTGAATTATATTTGGTTTGCTTTTATGGACATTCGGCCTGTGGAAGAATGCCAACATCTGGTCCCAAAGAGCCATCACAGTGGCCTGGGGAATCCCAACTTTTGGTGCATGCTAGTGTCTGGGAAATCCCAATGACCAACCCAATTAACACTGGGACCAGCAAGTGGCCTGGTGGTGAAGGCCGCTGGACTCCCACATGGCTGACCGTGGTTCGAGTCCCAGACCTGACAGCTGGCTTTCTCACTTTCCCTCTCTCTCTCTCACTCTGTCCCTCTCTGGGGAAATTCAAAGTCATTCATTCATTCATTCACTAAAGTTCAATAAAATCATTCTTAAAAAAAAAAAAAAAAAAAAATCTCTGGGGCCAGAAAGTAGCATAGTGCTTAAGGCACTGGACACCCACGTAGTCGACCACAGTTTGAGTCTCAGATATGGTGGATTAAAACTCACACAGGGGGTCAGGGTGGCAGGTGGCGTGGTGGTTTAGGGTGCTGGACTCCCACATGGCTGACTGCAGTTCAAGTCCTGGACCTGGCAGCTTGCTCTCCCACTTCCTCTCCCTATATCCCCAGTCAAATTTTAAAAATAAGTAAATAAAGTTAAATAATTCTTTTTTTTTTTGAGCAGTTTTCGCTATAGGACACGTGCACTTGCCAGAGAGATAGAAAGCAAGAAATCACGCCCCAGGGGGGATGGCCATGCAGCAATCCCTTCTCCTCTATTCTCCTCTCGGGATCTTAGGCACGCATGCACATGCACCCGATGTGAGTTTAAGCCACCCAGGTCTGGGAAGTAAGTCCCAGGTCTGGGATTCACACCTAGGGCCGGCAGGTGGCGCAGTGTTTAAGGTGCTGGATTCCTCCATGGCTGATTGCGGTTTGAGTCCTAGACCCTGTGCCCTGCTTTCTCACTTTCCCTCCCTCTCTCTGGTCAAATAAAAGAAATAATAAAAAATAAAGTTAAGTGAAAAAAAAATTTTTAAAACCCCCAAAACAAAAAACTCACACTGGGTGCATGTGCATACATGCCCCAAGATCCTGAGACTGGAGAAGGGATTGTGGTGTGGCCATCCTCCCTGGGAGATATATATATTTTTTTGAAGAGATTTTTGCTATAGGGCACGTGCGCTCACCAGACAGAGAGAGACAGACAGAAAGCGAGAAATCACCCCCCAGAGGGGATGGCCATGCCGCGATTCCTTCTCCATTCTCCTCTTGGGATCTTGGGCACGCATGCACATGCACCCGGCTTGAGTTTAAGCCACCAGGTCTGGGATGTGAACCACGGTTGACTACATGGGAGTCCAGCAACATAGCCATTACACTAACTGCTGGTCCCGAAAAAAAATTTTTTTAATGCATGCCCACTACAGAGAAAGGGAGAAAGCAAGCCATCAGGTCTGGGATTTGAACTGTGTTGGCCAAGTGGAAGTCCAGTGACGTAACCACTACAGAACCTGCTGGTGCCCTAAGTCCCTATTTTTTTTTTTTTTTGGAGAGATTTTTGGTATAAGGTGCATGTGCTTGCCAGACAGACAGAGACAGAAAGACAGACAGAGAATGAGAAATCAACCCCCAGAGAGGATGGCTACGCTGCAATCCCTTCTCCTCCTGGGATCTTGGGCACACACGCACATGCACCCGGGGTGAGTTTAAGCCACTGGGTCTGGGACTCGAACTACGGTCAACTACATGGGAGTCCAGCGACATAACCATGACGCCACCTGCTGGTCCCGGGAACAGTTTTGTAGCATGCCCGTGCTTCATGTGCAATAAATCCCAAAGGCAGCATTCCAGTGATGATCCAACAGCCTATAAATAAGCCAGTCGAACATATTTAAGAACTGGTTTTTGCTTTATTCCACAGTTCATGTGTAACGGCCCCAAACCCAACACTCGCTTTTTCTCTTCTTTTTCTGTTAAGCTCTGTGTCAGCAGAGACTGTATCTCCCAGCGGTGTACACAGTGATCCTCAACGGATACACATGGCTCTATTCCAGCTCTTCAGCCCTTCAACGTGGGCCTTCCCATTGGACAGCACCCATGTCTGTGCGGGGCTGTGCTCTGGCTGTGTCACCCTGAGGTGTCCTTAGTCCAGTAATGTCAAACGTGCCACCTCTGAATAAATCAGCTTAGAGTTCCAGGCTAAAGGTTGGAAGGCAAGCTGTGTCTGGGTTCTGTTACAAAGAATGTTGGGATCGACTAGTAATGTCTGCCATGGCAATGGACATGAGTGAATTGGAGGAAGGGACCACCTGCTGGCCATGGGCTCAAGGAGACAAGGCAGACATTCCGTGCTTGCCTGTGGTAGTGGTTCTACCACCCAGGCTGAGGGGGTAGTCTGAAGGCCACGAGCTGTGAGTGGCTTCCCCAGGGCGTACACAGAATAGCAGAAGCCCCAAGCTAGAGGGAGCTTGGAAGGGTGGCCCGTGCTGGGTCTAGCAGGGGACTGCCCATTGCAGGTCACGCCAGCGTCAGCTGCTTATCCTTGGAGTCTGTCTCATCCAGGTAAACAACAGTAGGTTGCTTTAAGTGTGTTAGAGGCAACTTGGGCGTAAAAACATTCTTATATAGCACTAACACAGAAATGATCTTAACCTCTGGATAAACACACAACTTTCCAGTCCAAACTAAAAAGCCTTCTTTTACTGGTTTGCCAAAGGGGAGTGCATTTGACAGAGACATAAAGGGTGGGGAGTGGTGAGAAATCGCCCCTCAGGGGGGACAGCTGCACCACAACCCCCTCTCCATTCTCTTCTTGGGATTCTGGGCATGCACGCACATGCGCCTGGAGTGTTTTTCAAGCCGTCGGGTCCAGGACTCAAACCACGCAGTCGACCACATGAGATCCAGCCACTTCAACCTCCGTGCCACCTGCCGGCTTAAGATGACTTATCTTCTACGTGTTCCCGAGAAACCAAAACGGAATAAAAGGACCGTCTTGCTTTTAATCAAGTTCCGGAATGAGGGCACACAGCTTTGAAAAACGCTGTCCCGGCAGAAGATGCAAGGGTCTGTGTACAGAAAAGTAATTCTAGAAAATGACAAAGGGGCCCAACATGACCCTGGCATCTCCTTCTGCTTCCCCTCGGTGCCGCCCCACACCCAGAGCCAGGAGGCTACTTCGTCCAGCTGACTTTGGGGATGTCGTAGTGCTCCGTCAGGGTGTCCAGGTGTCTGTTGAAGTCCTGGGGACGAGAAAGAGGAAGCGAGCCCATGTCACTACCCACCTCAGCAGGGAACTGAGCACGCGAGGGCCTGCCTGGCCCCTCGGAGTCCCCTCCTCTCACACCCAACTTGCCAGGTCTTCTGATTTTATTTATTTTTTGGAGAGGTTTTTGCTATAGGATGTGTGTACTCGCCAGAAAGACAGAGAGAGACAGAGACAGAGACAGAGAGAGATCACCCCCCAGGGGGGATGGCCACGCCGCAATCCCTTCTCCTCCATTCTCCTCTCGGGATCTTTGGCACACATGCACACGCGCCCGGCATAAGTTTAAGCCACCGGGTCTGGGACTCAAACCAAGGTAGCTTACATGGGAGTCCAGCAACGTAGCCATTACGCCAACTGCTGGTCCCCCAGGTCTTCTGGTTTTTATTACTTACTTTATTATTTTTAAATTTTGTTACAGGGCATGTGCACAAGGGTGGGGAGGCAGGCGGTGTGAGAAAGCGAGCGGCCAAGGCCCGGGCTTGAACTGCAGCTGGCCGTCTGGGAGTCCAGCACCCCAATGGCCCCACCACCTGCTGGCCCCTTATTTTTACTGTTTAAAGTGCCAGAGAGCACACGTGCTCACCGAAGACAGACGGACAAAGGGGGAAGAAGAAAGCACCTCGCACTGCCCCCAAGAAGGCACGGTCACACTGCAACCCCCTCTTCCTCCATTTCTCGATCTTGTCGGGATTTGGGGCACGCACACATATACTTGGTATGTTCTGCAAACCACCAGGGCCAGGACTCAAACCCTAGTTGGCCATGTAGGATCCCGTTCTCTTAACTACTAGGCTATGGGGTCGGCCATCCCTCTTAATTTTCTTTGGTGGGAGAGACAGAGACAGAGATAGACACAGACGCGGCAAGATGGGCAGCCCCATGGGGTCTTTATACAGCAAGCCAACCCCGGTTCCAGAGGCCTGAGTCACAGACACGCGTGCTCAGGGCGGTCCCAGGTCGTGAACTGAGGACCTCTCCGCGTCCCCAGCTGCCTTATCGCTGCACTGAAGCAGGCATGCCCCCATCTTGGGGGAGCGCCTCCATTATGAACTGTTAGATTCCTAAGACTGGAAGCCTCCCCTCTCCCCTTTTGTTTAAGAGGAAATAGAGTGATGGACACGCCGGTTGTCCTTGAAACTCCACTCCTCCTACTTCTGTAGGAGCCCTACCCCCTTCCCTGTCAAGCCCACTGCTCTCTGTCCTGGTAAATCAAGTCATCCCGGACATGCTTGTGCATTTCTGGCCTCTATAAGCTCCTTCCTCCTTTCACTCGGGGCTGCGGAGTTTTGAGAGACCCGAGTCCCCCGTATGCCGCCGGTTTAATCAATAAACTCCGATAAACTTGGCTCTGTCTGGATGTCCTCTTATTTCTCGCTGAGTGGACTGTAACAGACCACCATCCCGCTCCACTGCCAGGTCCAGCGACGCCTGAACCCTGGGCTCGCTCTGTGCCACGCCCTTGGCTCCTGGCCCCACGTGGGACCCTAAGGGCCCGTCTCACCCCGCGAGCACGGTGACTTACCTCTACTCGCTGCTTGTGGGTTTTCGATGCTTTCTTCAGGATCCTTTCCATTTGCTGGAAGGAGGAGACATGGAGGTGAGTGACAGGTGCCTGCAGCCCGGGCGGATGGGGATGGGGATGGCAGACTCCAGGCCCGGCCAGCCTGGTGCTCACCCCACAGCGGCTGGAGTCTCAGCCATGGTCCCCACCTCTCCCTTGGCTCCACAGAGGCTGGTCTAACAGGGAACTGGGGTCAGCCGCCCTTTGATCCCAGCCTTGTGAGGGGCACGAAATGAACCAGCAGCAACTAAGCACGCCCAAGGGCAGGTCTCCTTTGGGCTGAATCTGCGATTTCCTGCATCCCTGGGCAATCCAAAGGACAGCACTTGTGCTTGGCTGGAAAACCAAGTCCTAGGTAGAACCGAAGAAGATGAGAAATGAGGAAGACAAACGGCCCAAATAGACCAGGTGTTCAAGAAACAGTACCTATCACGGGCTGGCCCCATGGTCTAGTGGCTAAGGGAGTTAGATCCACCTGGCTGACTGTGGTTTGAATCCTGCCCCGAAGGCTTGAAAGACATGCTGGGTCCGTGTGCACGCATGCCCCAAATCCCAGGGGGATGGAGAGATGAAAGAGAACGGAATGAGGTCTGACCACGCCCCTTGAAAGGGGTTCTCTCTTTCTCTCTGACACGTGCGTGTGTCCTCTGATAATTAAAAAAAGAAAAAAAAAAAAAAAAAAACAAAAACACACTACTCATCTTTTTTTTAACTTTAGTTTATGTATTTATTTTAATTTGACCAGAGAGGGACAGAATGAGAAAGAGAGAGAGAAAGTGAGAAAGCAAGCTGCCAGGTCTGGGATTCAAACTGTGGTCAGCCATGTGGGAGTCCAACACCCTTAACCACCACGCCACCTGCTAGCCCCCTCATCTGTTTTTTTGGTAAGAGAGATTTTTTGTGGGACCGGCAGATGGCATGGTGGTTAACAGTGCTGGACTCCCACATGGCCACTCACGGTTCAAGTCCCAGACCTGCTACCCTCGCCCCCCATCAAATAAAAATAAATACATTAAATAATTGTTTAAAAAAGAGAGAGTTTTGCTATAGGGTGTGTGTGCTTTTGAGAGAGAGAGAGAGGGGTCCTTCTTATCAGCCTGGAAAGAAAACAGAAGCAGGAGAGGTGATGGCTAGGCCTGGGCTGGGGAGAAGGGAGTATAGGGAAGGTATGCCCAAAAAAGGCTGGATGCACCTGCAAGTCTGACGCAAGCCCAAGAGAGAGGACAGGAGTAGCCTCAGCTCTCCCTCGTGCCCTAAGTCCCATGCTGCTTCCTGAGGGTTAGCTCTTTTTTTTTTTTTTTTTTTTAAGAGATACTTGTATAGAACATGTATACAGCGCTCACTGAAGAGATGGAGACAGACATTTCACCCTGTAGGAGAAATGGTCATACAGCAATCCCTTCTCCATTCTCCTCTTGGGATTCTAGGCACACACGTACACACACCCAGTGTGTGTTTCGTCACCGGGTCCAGGATGCGAACCGTGGTTGGCCATGTGGGAGTCCAGTGCCTTAACCACTATGTCACCTGCTGGCCCAATTACCCATCTTAATGTTGGGTCACAACGCCAGGAGGGCTTCAAGACCCAGACTGTACACTTCAGCCTGCCCAACTCATATTCCGAAACACCAGGACTACCAGTAAGACTGTGGGGTGTGGGCTGCAGAGCCTGACAGAACTGGGGATGCACCTGACTCCACAGTTAACAGCTGGGTGACTGCGAATGACCCGGGTGGCCATGAGCCCTACTGCCCACTATGCATCCCCCGGGCAGTTTCCCCGTCACCCTGCCTCTGCACAGGCCCTGGACTCAGCACATGCAGTAGAATGCAGAGCTGGTTCTGAACCCAGGCCACAAGGAGACACAGCAGGGACTGGCTCCATGGCACTGCGGTAATGCACTGCCCAAGAGGGGCTGGACCCCACAGGGCAACTGCAATTTGAATCCCTGGCCCAGTAAGCCTGAAACACGCTGGGCACAGTGAGTGCGGAGGCTCCAACAGGTCAGAGATGGGAGGAAGAGGATCATGGTGCGACAAGACCCTGTGGCATGGGACCAGCAGGTGGTGTAATAGTTATGTCGCTGGACTCCCACGCTGTCGACTGCAGTTCAAGTCCCGGACCCAGAGGCCTGAAACTCACACCAGGCACGTGTGTGTGCATGACCAAGATCCTAAGAGGAGAATGAAGGAGAAGGGATTGTGGCGTGGCCATCCCTCCAAAGGGTGACTTCTCACTTTCTCTGTTTCTCTAGCACATGCACCCTATAGCAAAAATCTCTCTCAAAAACAAAGTCATGACATTATCATTTGCTGGGGCTGGACAGTGGCACAGTGGTAAAATGCAACGCTCTGCAAGGTGACCCACACTGGAAAGTTCTGGGTTCATATCCAGAGACCTCCTTGATCATATCAGGCACAAACATGCCCGTGATCCAGGGCTGGCTGAGGCCAGGAGTGGATTGTGGCACGGAGACCCCTCTGGGAGTGCTGTCTGTTTTTCTCTCTCATTTATGTAAGAAACAAACATTAAAAAATATACACTATTGATTAGCCAGCAGTGTGGTGGTCGAGGCAGCCAGATCCCATATAGCTGATTGCAGTCTGAGCCCTGGATCTGGTAGCTTGAGAAACATGCCAGGCCTGTGTGAGTGTGCGCATGCGCATGCTCAAGAACCTAAGAGAATGCAGGAGGGACCAGCAGTTAGTGTAATGGCTATGTCGCTGGACTCCCATGTAGTCGACTGCAGTTCACGTCCCGGACCTGGTGGCTTAAAACTCATGCCAGGCGCGTGTGCATGCGTGCCCAAAATCCCAAGAGGAGAATGCAGGAGAAGGGATTGCGGCATGGCCATCCCCCTGGGGGATGATTTCTTGCTTTCTGTCTGTCTCTCTCTGTCTGGCAAGTGCACGTGCCCTATAGCCAAAAAAGAAAATAATAAAAACCCTCATATAAATAAATAAATAAATAGAGAGAAAATGCAGGAGAAGGAACTGCAGCTTGGCCATCCCACATCCAACAGGCAACTCTCACGTGGTTTCTCTAAAGCCGAAGTTCTGGTCTCCATTCTGGAACCGTCTTTCTACCTCGGCAAACGGGCCCTTCCTTCCCTCAGGTGCTCAGTCCGTACCCTGCTCTTCCTTAACGCTTCTCTTTCCCAGACTGCCTCTGACCCACCAGCTGATCCTGTCGTTCTTCCCTGAGGGTCTGTCCTACCCTAACACCTTCCATTCGCTCTGCCACTGAAGAGTAGAAATGGCGCCCTATCTGGGCCACCGTTTTTCAAGTTTCTTTCTTTTGTGAGAGAAGCAGAGAGAGAGAAAGATGAGTACCCTCAATGGGGTCTCAAACCATGACTGCCCTCGGTCTTCCCAGACAGCCAAGATCATGGGCACATGTGCCAGAGTGTACAAGCCGACCAGGGAACCGAACCTGCCACCTTCCTTATGGATCCAGCATCATCTGAGAAGCCACCCATTTAGATTTTTTTTTTTTTAGGCTTTATTTTTGTTATAGAGCGCATGCACTTGCAGAAGGGAGAGACAGAGAGCTACAAAGAGAAGGAAAGTGAGAAATCACCCCCCAAAGGGGATGCTATGCTGCAATCCCTTCTCCTCCATTCTCCTCCCGGGATCTTGGGCACGCACGCACATGCGCCCAGCGTGATTTTCAAGCTACCAGGCCTGGGACTCAAACTCCCACATGGTCCGCCATGTGGGAGTCCAATGCCTTAACCACACTACCTGCTGGCCCCAGCAGCCACCATTATTAATCACCTGATGGCTGCACCGGCCTCTCATCCTGACTCCGGCAATGAGGTCCTAGCCCTGCCTCTGACTGGGAACTCCAGGTTATAAAGGATGTGTGTGTCCGTGTGCCAAACACTCCCAACCCAGTGAGCCAGGGATGTGAGCCCGACTTCGAGGAGGAGGTAAACCACCTGCCCAGAATTACACCACTCACAAGTGGTGGAGACAGAGTCTAAGTCAGGCCGGCTTTCCGAGAGCTCGTGGGCTCTGGGTCTCCTGTGGGACTGAATTAGACCTGGGAAGTACGAGTTAACTTCCCCTGAAGTGACCATACATAGCGATCGTCAGACAAGGATCAGGATTCTCCGCCCGAGCACCGATGTCACTGGGGGCCTCCTTTGCAGTGGATGCCATTCTGAGCATTGCAGGATGTGTTGCCTCATCCCTGCCTTCACCCACAAACTACCAGTGGTACGCTCCTGCCCGTCTGTGAACCAAAAATGCCTCCGGACAGTTGCCAGGTATGCTGTGCGGGGTGGGGGTGGGGTGGCCAGGGAGGGCAGGGGATGGTCTTCAATTGGAAACCACCGATGTAGACGGTGTGTAACTGGCCAAAATGACTACCTTACCCTCCCTCTCTGGTTCCTCACCACCCAGATTGATTAGGTTTCTGGTAACACGAGAAATGACTTATTAGAACTTTAAAATATTACGTATTTGGGGCCAGCAGATGGAGCAGAGGTTGGGGCAGCTGGACTCACAAGGAGGGCTGGTCAGTTCAAGTCCCTCACCCGGAGGCTTAAAAATCTCACCAGGTTGGGACCAGCAGTTAGCATAATGGCTATGTCTCTGGACTCCCATGTAGTGGACCATGGTTCAAGTCCTGGATCCGGTGGCTTAAACTCACGCCGGGCGCATGTGCATGCGTGCCCAAGATCCCGAGAGAATGGAGGAGAAGGGATTGCAGCGTGGCCATCCTCCCTGGGGGGTGATTTCTCGCTCTCTGTCTCTGTCTTTCTGGCCAGTGCACGCACCCTATATAGCAAAAAACCTCTCCAAAAAATAAATACATAGAATAAAATAAACTAACAAAGTAAATAAAATAATTCTTTAAATAAACAATAAATACATAAATAAATAAAGCTAAATAAAATAGTTCGTTTAAAAAAAAAAATTACTGGCGTTTCCTGGGGGGGGGCAAACGAGCCACAGCATTGGAATCCAAACCTGGGCTGCTGGTTCTAGCTCTCCCCTCGGACCCCGACTCAGACCGAGGGGTCCTCCCTGTTCCCGAAGCTCTCCCCGAATTCAGACGCCCCCGGACCCCTCGGCCTCCTCCCGGCATCCCAGCGCGGGGCAGCCCCGGCCCTCCGGCCTCACCCGCTTCTCCTGCATCTTCTCGAAGGCCGCCTGGGCCGGGGTCCGCTTGTCCAGGCCGCGCCGCTTCTCCTCCTCGTTCTTCTTGCTCGTCCCCATCGCTTCCAGCAGCTTCGCCTTGTCTTTGTCCTTCTTTTTCTTCTTCCTGGGAGAGGAAACCAAAGGGGAGGGGGATGAAGGCGAGTCACAGTGACAACATCCTAGGGTGCCGGGAAAAACGTCTGGGAGGACATAGGACACACTCCGGAGGGCCCTAGGGTCTCACCGTTTGGTCACGCCGAGCTCTGCGACACCTTTTAGCTTCAGAGGCCCCTTCTGGACCTGCTCGTAGTCCGCCATGACGCTCTGCGCCTAGTTTACCGAGTGGATTGCCACACTTCCGGTTTGCAGACAGTATTTCCGCCCTAAGCCCCGCCTCACTTCTTGTTGATTGGTCGAGCTACACGTAGCGCATGCGTACTCAGCAGCTGGGTCTGTGCCACACTTCCGGGTGTGGACTGGGCGGAGACTCAGACCAGTAGCGGAGCTTTGTAGCCAGTCACCCGCCACACTTCCGGTTCTTCATCTTTCAGTCCTAACGCTTAGAACCCGAAAACTTTTTTTTTTTTTTTTTTTTAATTTTTTAAAAAACTTTAAGTTTATTTGTTTTTTGAGAGAGAGAAAGAGAGAGCGTGCATACACATGTGCATGAGCATCCCCAACAAGGTTTCAATGCTGTGCAATCCACACTGGCCTTTTTTTTTTTGGAGAGGATTTTTCTATAGGGCACGTGCGCTCGCCAGACAGACAGAGAGAGACAGAGAGACAGAAAGCAAGAAATCACCCCCCGGGGGGATGGTCACGCCGCAATCCCTTCTCCATTCTCCTCTC